GGTTGGACTGGTATCCGCCTAGACCTAACCTACAACTACTGGGCCTCTAAAAAATGCCACTTTTGTCTTCTTCTGCTTGGCCTCCAGTACCCGCACATCTACCCCTTCAGGGTGCGGTACCGGCCTACCCGCTACTTGAGTGTTTTTCCTGCTGCAATCCCTCAATGTCACGGCCACAGGTAAGTACCGGCCCTGAGGGCCCAATGAACGAGCAAGTGCTCTTGCGGGCCACACACACACTCAAGCCAACCAGCTCTCAGACAGGCACGGCCACACACACACTCAAGCCAATCAGCACTCAGACAGATATGCAGCCCAGCAAGCGTGCACACACAGACTCAGTAGCAGGCGGGAAACTCAGCAAGGCATTCAGTCTATGGGAAAAACTCAGAATTCAGCTGTGTGTTTCAGTCCATGTTTGGATGGGTCATCACATAATAACGTAAATGATTCAAAATTCAAATGATCTCAAAGTGAAATCATTGACACCTCCAGTCGTGATATTAGAAAAGGAAAAGAGATGTACTGAGATTTTGATGATGATATACTGTGTGATATGCTCTTGGCGTCAGAGTATAATTGTGGAGGTGAACGGGATCATCAGCGCGTTTCGCTCAGAGAGGTACATGTCTGACGTGGACATGATGGTGGCAGGGAAAGAGGCGGCTGCTGCAGGGAGTGAAGCAGCGATGGTGGCAGAAGAGGAGGACGAGGATGAAGAGGACGCCTTTTCTCCCGAGAAAGGGAACGTCGCCTTTACCAGCGCCGTGGATGGGTGGGGTTTTCGGATTGATGAGTTCGCTGGCATGTACGCGAGTAAACTGGGGGCAAGCGCCGCCTCCTTGCAGAAAGGGCTTTGGGGTGACCGGTACTTTGTGCCAAAGACAAAGAGTATTGTCGGGAAGAAGGCAGCGGGGGGCAAGTACAAACCCATGTTCGCTCAATTTATTCTGGAACCGTTGTGGAAACTCTACGGTCTGGTGTTCGATGGGGGAGGGGTGGCGGGGGGTGCTGGGGGCGGCGGCGGTGGTGCTAAAGAAGAGCTTTTGAAAATTATCAAGGCGATGAATATCCTCGTCCCCCCTCGGGAGTTGCAACAGAAAGACCCCAAAGCTGTCATCCAATCAGTGATGAGTCGATGGTTGCCTCTCTCTGATGCCGTGCTGGCGATGGCAGTCGAGTGTCTTCCCGACCCTGCAGACGCACAGAAGGAGCGCAGCCGCCGCCTGCTGCCTCTGCGTGCGGATCCAGACATTGTGTCTGGAGTTCTGGTGAAGAACGAGGATGGAGAGGCGGGGGAGGAGGAGGAGGAAAAGCAGAATAAGGCAAAACGAGAGAGGGCTGTAGCTGAAGCCTATCGTGCTGTGGAGTGCTGCGATGCGTCAGAGGATGCCCCTTGCATTGTCTTTGTGTCGAAGATGTTTGCCGTTCCATTGCACATGCTACCCACTCGACGAGGTACTCATGGAGAGATTCTGAGAGAAGAGCTCCACGAAGAGGACGGGGAGGTGATCACGCATGCCAATGACAACACCCAGGAATGTTTTCTGGCCTTCGCCAGGGTTTTCAGTGGTGTCCTCCAAGTCGGGCGCAAGATGCACGTGCTCTCGGCAGCTTATAATCCACTGGCAGCTGATTTGGAGTCTAATCGACGCCATCGGCAGGAAGCAGTGCTGTCCGGGCTCTACATGATGATGGGTAGGGGTCTAGAACCTCAAACCTCGGTTCCGGCGGGAAATGTGGTGGCTATCCGAGGACTAGGGCAATGTATTCTGAAGTATGCCACTCTCTCCTCCTCTCCTCATTGTTACCCATTTACAAGTATGTTGTTCCAAGCAGCTCCACTGGTGCGGGTCGCGGTGGAGCCTGCTGATCCTGCAGAGATGGCTGCGCTTGCGAGAGGCCTTCGCCTTCTCAATAGGGCAGACCCTTTCATTGAAGTCCTCGTCTCTTCAACGGGAGAGCACGTCATTGGTGCAGCTGGAGAGGTGCACCTGGCCACATGCATCAAGGACCTTCGGGAGAGGTTTGCCCGCATTGAGCTTGCAGTTTCTCCGCCGTTGGTAGCTTTTCGGGAGACGATAGCCAGTGCAGCAACCACCACGACGGGAGCCGGTGGTGGTGGTGGACCTGCTGCTGCAGCCAGCATGGTCGCGTTTTCAACTGCGTCCGGTGGAGGAGAGAAGGAGAAGGGGGATAAAAAGCAGTGGGTCGAGGCTGCAACCCCCAATGGGCGTTGCAAGGTGCGTGTGTGTGTGTCGCGCCTGCCAGATGCCCTTACTGCTGTGCTGGATGGTAGCGAAGAAGTTTTGAAAGGTATTCTTGTTGACGGGGTGATTGGCTGCAACAGCAACAGCAGTAGCAGCAGCAGCAGAGGAGAGGTTATTGGTAGGAGTGGCGAGCGCTGTGGTGATGTGCGTAACACTGATGATGATGAGAAGGGGTCGTCGTCAGAAAGGTCCTTGATGTCCTCGGTTGCTGCTGGAGGGGGGGGAGGAGGAGGGATCAGTGCCCGATTGGATGATCCAGTAGGGCTGCTGTGTTCTCGTTTGCTGGCAGCTGTCGGCGCTGAGGAAAAGGACAGCGATGGTCCTTCTCTCACCTGTCCCAGTGCTCGTAGCAAAGGCAGCAATGCAACGATGGGAAGTGGTGGCCAACAGAAGAAAGCGGGAAGCACTGGCCAAGGAGGGGGAGATGGTGGAGGTTCTTCAACGTCATGGAAACGTGGTTGGTCTTTCGATTTGACAAGAATCTGGGCCTTAGGTCCGCGACGAGTGGGACCATGCGCGCTGCTTGTGCCCGGTGATGGCAGATCTGGTCGCCACTGCAGCAGGTGGATTGAGGAGGCAATGGACTTGGGTGCGGTGATGATCCGGGGTGTGCCCGAGGTTTCTCTGAAGCTAGGCCTGGTGGAGAAAGGAGAGGAGGAGGAGGAGGAGGAGATAGAGGGGGTTGGCAGGGCCGTCCTGATCGCAGAAGCGGAGAGCTTAGAGAACAGTGTATTGGCAGGATTCCAGCTTGCTACGTCGGCAGGTCCTCTTTGTGAAGAGCCTATGTGGGGATTGGCATTTACGATTGAGGCGATCATCATGGCCGCGCCGTTGAGGGAGAAGTCAGCGGCTATGGCGGATGAGAATGGTGCCGGAATGATGGCTTCTGCTCCTGCTTCAGGGGTTGAGCAATATGGACCTTTCTCTGGCCAAGTCATGACCACTGTCAAGGAGGCTTGCCGGATGGCGATGATGGGAGCTTCTCCTAGGCTAGTTGAGGCGATGTATTTCTGCGAAGTGAACACATCCTCCGACATGCTGGGCCAAGCGTACGGTGTGCTGGCTAAACGGCGTGCAAGGATCATCAGGGAGGACATGAGGGAGGGAACCGCAATGTTCACAATTCATGCTTACATGCCTGTGGCGGAGAGCTTCGGGTTCGCCGAAGAACTGAGGAGGAAAACTTCGGGAGCAGCTAGCCCGCAGCTGGTGTTAAGTCATTGGGAGGCAATGGCAGAGGACCCGTTTTTTGTCCCAAGGACAGAGGAGGAAGTCGAGGAGTTTGGAGATGGCGCTAGCGTGTTGCCGAGTGTGGGAAGAAGGTTCATGGATGCAGTGAGGAGAAGGAAAGGGCTTCATGTTGAGGAGAAGCTTGTCGAAAAGGCCACAAAGCAGCGGACACTCGCGAAGAAGGTGTGACCAAACCAAGTGCGAAAGACGGGGTCAAATGGAATCGTTTTCACATTGACTACGGGGATGGATGTTCCTAGGCTTGTCTTCTTCTCCCTTTGTTTGTCTCGATTACAAGGGGTTGGTGTCACGCGTGTGCGACCGTGCTGCTGTCTCAGGAAGAAGGAATTGGAGACGAGAGCAGATGACCACAAGAGGACTGGTGCCAGCTTGGGTGGCCCTTATCTGGACACAAATTGTGAGAGGTGTTCCTTGAGGGAAAGACTGAAGAACTGCAAGGCATCCTCCTCTTCAGTTGCTGTGCGACGCACAAGAAGCAAGGCTGCATGGGTGGTAACGATAAAAGCATTTGGGAGGCCACGTACATATCCAAGGTGTGTTTTCCTGTGTATCTCTACCCCTATCTATCGTGGTCTATTGGACTGGATCTGGTCAGCAATCAGCCTCTTCTCGTCCTCTCCTCCTTTAGGCTTCCAATGTGCTTCTGGCATTGCATGGTCTGTAAGTATGCTGGAGTCCATACGGATTGGTGATGTTATGGACACACCCGTTTGTGTTTGTCTTTTCCGATGACAGACTATGGTTGTGGGTGTTCCTGGCTCATCATTCTCCCCTACGCCACTCTGTCCTTTCCCATGCATGGTAAACATCCTTCATGAGCTCCCCCCTCCCCCCCCCCCAAGGTACGGAGAGGATCAAGTCGTATTAATATCCCTCCCTAAGGTCTAATCGTCCATGTGGGACTGGCATATTCATCTTAAGAGTTGGCAGAGTGAATATGTGGGTGTGTGTACGTGAGATGCATCCAGGAAAGGCTGACCATGAATGAATATGCCGCTGGAGTCCTTACGTAGGGTAGTCAAGAGAGAGAGAGAGAGAGAGAGAGAGAGAGGTGGTTGGCTGCTGGCGACCATATCTCGAATGTCTTGGTCAAGCTGCATCTGTAGCACCTGTTGACGTGCAGAAGAAGATCAAATGAAGTTATCTCCTATGGCCACTCCCCGTCTCATCTGTGAGCTGTAGCACCTGTGGCGCTACTCCTTGTGCTCAGCAATTTGGCTTTCAATTCCAGTCTCATGTTTCTGGTGTGTTTATGGATGATAGGACTACAGTTTGGACGGTACTTTGACCCCAGTTTTATCTGGACCAGGGCTGCACCGGCCACAGGCTGGTTGGACAGAACCGGACCCAACCCAGCCGGTTGGAACCCCGGTGGTCCAACCGGAAATCCGGTTGGGCCCAAAACCAGGTCAATTTTTTTATTTGTTTTTTATTTTTTGATGATGGGGTTGGACTGCGCTTGTCGAGGGTGGGGTGTGTGTGTGTGGGGGGGGGTAGTGGGGTGGTTGCAGCGTACCTCTCTCTCTCTCTCTCTCTCTCTCTCTCTCTCTCTCTCTCTCTCTCCGCGCGCTAGCATCCACTACCCTCCATGCACGCCCCAGACTTTGCTCTCTCTCTCTCTCTCTCTCTCTCCCACAGGTTTCCGTGCGCACACTTACTCCCACGTGTCAACTTACTTTCGCACGCCCACTACCCTCCGCAAAGAAGAGAAGAAACAGAGGAACAAGAGGAAGACCTACTCTTACCGATGGACGGCGGGGCGCGGCAGGGCGGGGCGGGGCGGGGCAATGGTGATTCCGAGGCCGGGTCGCAGAGGGGGGGGAGGGCGACGCAGTCTCCAAAGCAGCGGCCTCGTTCACTTCGGACAAAGTGATGGGTTGTGCTGCGCGAAAGCAGCGGGAGGCGGGAGGCGGGGTGGCGTGGGCGGTGTGTGGGGAACGTTAGGATGGCTGGCCGATGTTTGGGTGGTTTCCCACCCGAATGTTAACAAACTGGCGGCCTATCGGGGCCGCAGATCTCACCAGATCAATGGCCCAGATAGACTGCCAGTTTTTCAATACTCTGGCGGGCCTACCGGACCTTGTTAATTTTTTTTTGGGTCCGGGAGCCTCCACGACCCGTATGGAGGCCTCCCGGCCCCAAAAACAATTGAAACCCCCACACGATCGAAATGTGCAAAGGGGAACTGGGAGGGAACCGGCGCGGTCCACCGGCCCGGTTCCGGTGGGGGTAGGGGGCCTCGGTGGGACCGGGTATTCAGCCTTGACCTGGACTGCTGTCGTACCTGTCTAGTCTCATTGTTTACGTTTTCTTTTCCCTCCAATCTATTTGTGGGGTGCAGCACATGCTGGGAACCTGGCCCAGCGTCCTTCATGGAAGTACAGAAAACAAATTAAGGTACTGGGGCCATTATCCGGCTTCGGCTGAGAGCAGTCGATGAAATTTAGCAGAACTCAGAAGAAATTGTGAACAGCTACTACCACTAAGGCAAAACTCCAGAGAATTTTGCGAAAATTCACGGCGTACGAAGAATACCGGAACCACCCTACCATCTCCCACTCACTCCGCTGCAGAGGATGTTGATTCCGGCATTCCTTGCTTGTGCCTTTGTACAGGCATTCGCTCGATTTCCATTCTTAGTTCCATTGCTGCTTCTGTATTTTTCTCGTCCATGCAATGCGTGCTGTGGGATGTCCACTCCCTTCACACTGTTCGCAGCCATCTCCAACCTCCTTGCTGCTCTCACCCCGTGTCTGTTGCAAGTGTGCCCAGCCACTGTGCTGACATATGTTGCACGACCTATATTTCCAGCAAAGTGACCTATATTTCCAGCAAAGTGAATAGTCGTATGCATGCATGGAATGAACGGAGAGCCTCTTCTCCCATGTTCATTGGTTGTGCTCTGGTTGATCATTTCACGTTTCCGATCTCGTGTTCGAGTATTTGAGTTCGAAGGGAAGCTAATGTAGTAATGTGTATAATCTTCTATGTGTGTGTTCCCCGTGTATTGCAGTAGCTGCTGCATTGGTGCTGGGAGCATCAATTGGCGGTATTATGAAGAGCTGGCGAACGCATCATACGGAGGTTAACGAAGTGCAATGAAGACGAGAGGAGCACTTGCCGTGTTGATTATGGTACCCAGTTTGGTGAATAACCCAATGTGGAAGCAGGAATGGACAAAAGCATTGTCGGCGTGGTGATTGTGATAGGCCAGATGAGGAACTGCTAAATATGGAAACTGTAATGTAGGATAAGGTTGTACTGACCCCAGGATCATCAGAAATGTTTTTTGTTGGTGATTGCTCGCATGCTCGCATTCATTAGAATCGTCAAAATAATCCTGCATATGGGAGATGATAATTGGGCATGTCTAGGAGGCTTGGCCCTGTAGGAGAGAGGTGTGAATGGGCTATGTAAAAGAAAAAAGAGTAGAAATACCTTGGGAGTTTGTCGTATAGTTGCGCAGCGCATTGTGCTGGTTGAAGCCTTTTTAATATCCCTTTTTCCTTGAAGGTCTCATTCGAATTGTGCACCTCTGGCGCGGCAATCTGCATGCATGCCAGTGGTGGCCTTATTCTGCTTTTGTCTGCCGCTTGGGCTGGCCTATTTTTTTTTTCCAGTTGTCTGATGGTCTGTCTTTCTGAACCTCGGAACTTCCATGTGTATGCCAGTCGTCAGCTCATACTAAATTTGCCTCTGGTGGATCTGGTCTGCGTCCAGTTGTCGGATCGTCTATCTGTGTCAACCTTGGAGTGTCATTCTTGTCATTCTGCACCAGGACTTGTCTGTGTGGCGTGCCCAGAAAGAGGCTATAATGACCAGGCGTTCTATTCGGGTGAAGATGGTAGGACCTTGTAGAATGTTGGATTGTTCTTGTCTGTTTCATGAGTTCAATGATACAAACTTTGCAAGTGGTTGGTTGGTTGGTTTTCCCAGCTGTTTAATGGACTCGAACGTCGAACAAAAGGTTCAGGTTTTGGGAAGAAATTGATGGCATGGTTGTGAGCTGACCTTTTTTTTTTTCTTTTTTTTCCCCCCTTAAAAAGGGCCCAGTGCCCAAGGCTGATATTACAAATAAGAAGGGCCGGGGTCCTCACAGTCTACCTGGAGTGACCGAACCGAACTTGCTGAGAACCGGGCTCAGCGTCCCGCATACCATGATAATGATGATGATGATGATGATGATCTTCTACTGATTCTATGTAAACTACGATCATACTAATGATGGCGATGCTTTTTTTACAATGAAATAAGTGATCCAAGTGAACCAAATCTGCTGCGAATCAGACACAGCTTCCCCCAAGGGTATTACTACTGAACTAGCTTTGTGCCTCTTTGTGCCTCTTCACCCCATCTGGGCGCCAGAAAGTCTTGAATACCAAGCACATAACCAAAATCTTAACCATAAAAGGTTGAGAGGAAAGAACCCCATACTCCTACTCCTTGCCTCTGTCCTATCCATACCACACAGAGGGACCAAGACAGTCACCCGGAGGGGGGGGGGAGAAATCAGGGAATTCAGAAAGAGGCCTTAAGGGACTAGCAGGATCAACAGTACTCCAGTCGTTGAAGACCAACCGGTAATTTCTTTGGAAGGGCTCCTGTGAGTTCTCATGTGCACCTTCCCACATTACTTGCCCCAACCTCCCCCCCTGGCCTCCCCCAAGCCGACTTCTGTTGAACTGTTTGATGTGGTGCCAGATCTCATTTTGTAAGGATAGATGTTGGATTTTCTCTCTTAAATATTCCCATTTAATGGACAATTCTGTTTGAATCTGCTGTTTAGTAGTATCAGTAAAGTCTGGGCCATCCAGTCGCGCACCTTCGATTTCATAGGTACACCTTTTTGTCCAGATTGTCCAAATGATCGCCCTCCTACCAAGTAAGAGTAGGTTAGTTGTGAATTCATCCCCTTGATCTGGAAGCCAGGTTTCCAAAAGGAGAGCTTTCCATTCCCAGGGCCAGGGCAGGGTGGTACCCAGTTGATTCCAGATCCTGTTACACCATGGATGAGGTATACCTCTTTGATCTAACGAAGTTTTGTCAATAATCCAGTCATTCGTAGGCAGATATCTGTGAACTATTTGCCATTGTAAGGAGGCTACCTTATGTGTGGGACCTGTTTCACACATTTTCCCTGCTTTTTGTTATTTAGCGCCCCAAACCGCAGATCTATTTCATTGGTTGGAGTGCTGAGATTGTGAATGAATCGACGGAGTGTGCCGTTGGGTGGTTGCAACAAAAAGAATTTGGAAAGGAATGAATGAACAAAAGCTGAAAGGAAAAAAGAAGGATCGCAAGTGGTATTCAGGAGGCTGTGGGTTCAATCCCGATTGGCCTCATGTTTGTTACATGCTGCGACTGCAACAGGCTGCATGGGCCACTTTCAAGGCTGTGACGTTTTCAGGCCAAAAGCCTGAAAACAAGGGCCTACAGGCCCTGTGTCGTTTCAGCCTAAATTAGGGCCTTTCCGGCCTTGAATCTTTTCAGCCTGAAACTGAGGGCCATTTTCAGGCCCTCGTGAGTTCGGCCGGCCCCGAAACTCAGGCACCAAACCAGGGTTTTAGCTCAGGGCATTTTTGGCCTATTTTCAAGACAACCTTCGTTTGAGCTTCAACCCCAGGGTCTGGCACAGTTTGGCATTGGCAAGAGCAGCCTCCTAGACGGGCCAGCACTATAGAGGACTGGCCCGCCCTGCAGGCTGCAGGTAGTTCCTAAGTACTTCCCAGGCACTTCACGTGCAGTTCAGGAGGCAGGAGGTAGTCTTCAGGATTCGGCAGCAGCACTCTGGAGGAGCGCTGTAGTAGTAGTAGTAGCGTTAGCAGTAGTCTTCAGCGCTGGATGCTAGTGGCGGTAGCTGTAGTCTTCAGCGCTGGCCGCCATAGGAGCTAGAGTAGTACTATAGAGGGAGAGATTGGGCGGAGGCCAGGGGGACTTACCTGCAGCGCCATCGCTCCAGCTTCTTCTTCAAGGTATCTGCAGCACATGCATCCCTTTTCTTAAGTGAAAGTCAAAGTAGAGATACATGCAGTTCATTCAGTCAATCATAGCAAGATGTTCAAATAAGGGTTATAACTGGTTTTATAGAAGGGGATGAAAGGTTACCTCTCAGTTCGCTGCCTCCAGAACTCTCCTGAGTTATGGCAGAGCTCCCGCGATCGGTGGGCGAACTCCCCACAGAGTCTTGTTGCGGTTCTACTGGTTGCAATCCCGCCTGCTGCCTTCCTCTCAGAACAGGACTAGACTTCTAGAGTAAGAAAGGTAGAAAGAGGGGTTTCAGACTCTCGAGATACAGGAGAGGGATAACTCAAGTCCCAGGAGAGAGCCTTGATTCCTTGATTCGCCTGTCAGTGAGGGCCCCGCAATGGTGGCCAAAATTTGTAGCAGTTTGGCGAGTCAAAGTTAAATAGCCAGTTGTTGACTTCCTGACGGTCCTTCAACTTGCAGTAATCACCCCTTCCTTCAAAGGACTCAACCTCCTTCGTGGAGCTTCTCGGTCCGAACTGCACCGACTACTATAGATAGGCTTGTTGCTCGCGACTCTCCTCTAAGTGCTCCGTATGGCGGAGCAAATGGCGCACCGGTCAACAATCAAATTCGTCTCTCGCAGTTGGCCTGTTGTTGCTTTATCCAGCAACAGATGGTGTTGCTGGTTGGAAGGTGAGTTTACAACCTTCGTAGCTTGTCTCCCGTTGCTCCGTTCAATCAGACGGGCCGTGCACCATCAGCAAGGCAAGTATACCGGCCTAGTGCTTTACACTTCACTCTTTTAACCGTGGGGCTGACCAACACTCCAATCTGCAAGCGAATCTCCAGCTCTTCTCATATACACGACAACATTATTTACATAGCAGCAAACCTCCCTCTTCGACTGCAAGGCGTAGCCAAACTGCCACCCTCGCTGTAGGTACGCCACACAATCAGACTCTATCTTTAGGTCGTAGCAATAACACTCCCCTATACTGTTACCCGTTTTCTTGACCAATCGTCGGTGTGCAGCCTATAAGCATATTGTCTTGAATAGAGTTTGCCCCATGCTTTAGTCGAAATGCCAAAAAAAATAGAGTAGCATTCAACAAACTCAAAAGGCACGCCATAATCGTAAGTGGTGGCAATGTTAGATAGCAGTGAGCCACAACCTGCCCCAACAAAACCAGCCAATTACGACAGTAGCCCGCAAACCATAACAGAGCTGACACTTTGCTGCTTAGTACTTACCAGCAACAATAACCACCATGAACCTCCGAGAAGCTCTGCTAAGTGCCAACGCAGGTCGTAGCAACAATCTATCTCGGTAATCCTCCCTATTGCACAACATCCTTCTCGTTGTTTTTTTGCGGATGCTTGCCTTCCATTCCTTTTCGCCCAACCATACTCTTCCAGGCCGACATTCTTCCCGTAACTCTTCCTCAACCACTCTGGTTGTCAGGAGGCATTTCTGCCGAGAGGTAAGTGTCCTACTTACGTACGTCCCTCTCACCGTTTCATCCGATAAACTACCCTTCCGGTCCCGGAGCCCTGTGCCGCACCACTTTCAAAGCAGCGGATGAGCAGCACACCGATCCGCTGCAGAGGTTGCTTCTCTCGACAGGGCTGTCACCCTCTTCGGCGTCCCCCCTTCAGACGGCCCCCCCGATGACGGTCCGGGTGTAGCTGCAGTGAAGATGATCACGACCATCGCTGCCCAATCTATAGGAACCCCCTTCCACTACTTACCAACTGCATAAAATAAGGGCGGGAGCGATAGACAAAAATTCCATGTTGCAACACCACGAAAGTATTTTTGATAGATATGTACCGAGCGAAATCACTATGCACTAAGACACCACCCTTATAAAGGCAGTATGATGAACCTAAGTGCCAAGTGCAGACGCACTCTGGTCACACCAACACTGTATTCAATGTTGCTCCCACTGCCTAACGCCCGACGCCAGAGGTTGACATTGGGTGGCCATGACCCGACCCGACAACCGTACCCGACAGTTCTGGACGGGCAAGGGTATGGCATGATTAGTATGCATGGGGACAACTGGGTCTGTAAATTTAAAGGGGGGATATGGCCGGGGCAGGAAACTGTAGGGTGGGTGGGGCTGGGTGTTGACACAGTGCCTGGACGGTTACGGTCCGGCAAAGATTTGCCCTGGTTCCGGGTACGACCGGGTACAGGTTTCACGCGGGTGACCCGTGGCCTGTAGGCATACTAGGCATATTAGGCAAGCCTAGGTAGTATGAGGGTTAGGCCTGACCCTTTTTCTTCACTAGGAAATAGTGGTACTAGTTGGACGTGCCCCTAGTATAAATTTGTCTCTGGCCATCTGTCGTTCATCTTACGGACGAGGTAGTATTAGGGCCAGGCCGTATTATTAACTCGGCCTGGCCCGAGTCGTTTCATCTTAGGGAATACGACATTCACTTATAAGCTCTAGCCACAATTGCGGTCAGATCCATCGAAATCTGGCTGTAGATGCGGCCAACTGTAGACAAAAAGTATCACTTTGAGTATCCCCAGCCACTGGTCCATTGCCGCCGCCAAAATTTGAAGTGGAGATCTCTGGATGGAAGCTAAAAAATCCGACATGCAACGACCTAAGTTTAAAATAAAAATAAAACTAAGCCGGGGTGGAAAATTTTGGGCACAGATACGGCTGGACATGGGTGGATCGATACTCAGTTCAAGTGCAGTTGGATGAGGTTGAACGACCTGAGTGTGGTTGGGTATGGGTAGACAATTTTTAAGTCACCCTGGGTGGGCTGGGTACGGGTAAAAACAAATATAAATTAGCGTGGGTGGGTTGGGTCTGGGTCAAAGAAATTGTGTTTACATGAGTCCGACTAGATATGATACATCAAGGCTTGGGTTGCGTCGGATATGGGTAGGAAACAAAATGGTTTTGCGACCTCTGCCCAATGCACAACCTATACTACTCAGTCTAACTAGCCTACCGGTGTTTAGGAAACTGGACTACGTCGAAACCGAAG